AGATAATCAATAAGTGTACGGAAGTCGTGTTAGACCATAACCCACTTTCTTAAATTCAAATAATACCGAGCTCTTATATCCGAGTACTCTAACTTATGGGTGCAAGCTCGAGGGAAATCTCATTGATATTACTTTGCATTTACATTCTGCTTCAGTACTGTAAGATCTTTATTATTTATGTCAATTTCTTGCATTAATATTTGCACTCTTACTATTTACGAAGTTTTAGTTACTATTATTCGAAGATTAGAAATTGACTGCGAACGAAAAAGAGAAGAAATTAAATCATTTTATAGTGTGCTTGATTATTTTCTGAAAAATAGTAGAAATATATCCGTGCCTTTATATTTTACAGAAAATATAGTCAGAATTAATAAAGAAATTAATAAATTAGAAAATAAAATTAGAATATTAAATGATTATTTTGATAAATATGTCAATCAGGATGGTAGTGTAGCATGATTGTTTTAAATTTCCAGCAAGGAAGTTCCCATGTAGGCATGCAACACATACTGTCAGGCTATCCGAAATAGCCTATTAGGCTACCTAATACTCAGAAATGGACTATTATATTTTTGAAGCTGCCGGAAGATCAAGGAAGCTGGTCGCATGATGGAAGAGAAGCCAGTTGAGAGAGGTTCCCATTACGTAAAAGCACACTATTGCTACTAAGGTGAATAAAATTTCAGACAGACGAGAACTGACAACACCAGCAAACATCTTTAACCATAGATTTGGAGCTCTTGACAACAATTTTATTCACTAATACTCCATGTCTGAAAAATCTAACTCTTCAATGACAATAGGATAACAATACAATCAAATATGCTATTAAAGCAAAACTTAGAATATCTCATTTGATGAGGACTAGGATGTCATCACAATTCCAGAGATCTGCAACCTGTGCAGCCTCAAATACAGCCCATGCAATTTTCTTTCCATTTTGTATGCAATTGTAACAAAGATTCATTACTATTGTAGTAATTCCAAAACCCTCTCAATCTTATCTTATTCGGCATCAGCCAGACGAAGCAAGAAAAGTACCGGATCATCCAGGCCCCTGAGATAGTATTACGGCAAGGGATGATAAAAACACTTCTCATAACATTCAAAGCATTGGATTCAGTATTTTCAAGAATTATCGATAGATATTAGTCGGAGGGGGCTAAACTAATAAAGCTTCTCACATTAATATAAACCTATAACTATGCAAAAATAGATTTATGTACCATCTCAAAAGAGGATAGCAAATATCCACTCTTAGTAAAGCAAGTATTTATTGCCTCTGTACAAGAGTGGTGAAACACTTCTCACAAGCTTTCCTGGAATTGACTGAGAAGTACATTAGCTCCATCATTAATATCATCACTATCATTTCGACCATCCTCTAATGCTGAATCACTGCCTGTATATGTCCCATTAGATAGGGGAATGTACGACATATAAACTTCATCATCAAGACACCCAACTTGCTTCAAGACTTCCAGTAAGTCATCCTTAATTGCCATATCAGCTTCTTGCTCGGAGATCTTGAGAATGGATGAGACATTTGCGGGTTTAGGTTTCCAGCCTTTCGAACCTCCAGCTAAAACAGCATTCTTTAAGCAAGACACAGCATCAGAAATCCTCCTGGATTTGATGTGATGTTCTGAAAGAATCTCCCATGTTACACAACTTGGTTTTCCTCCTGCTTCAATCATTTGATCAAAGAATATCTTGGTTTTTTCAGAAAGACCTTTCCTGACAAAATAACTCAATAGAAGATTTCCTATTCTGGGGTCATAAACTGATTTCACCGAAAGCCATTCATCATAGATCTTTTCAGCCCCCTCAATGTCATCCAATCTAACCAGAGACGAAATCACAGCATGATAGCTCAAATTTGGAATAGTGGTAAATGTAGCTTTGTAAATGTTCCATACCCGATGCACCTCCTCTTTGATACCAAGACTACCATAGAGACTCATGAGATAATGATAAGGGATTCGATCTCGACCCGTAATTCTAGTCTCAATCTTCTTCAAACAGTCTTCCGCTTTTTCCAACTGCCCCAACTTAATGTACATGGTAGCCATCGTGCTGAAGGTAGTCCAGTTGGGATTGATGGTGGTGTCCAGTTGCATTTGTTCAAATGCTTGTTCCAGTTTTTCCAAAGATCCTTGAGAGCCACGAGATGATAACCAAATGTTGTAGGAATAAATATCTAATGATATGTTTTTCTCCATCATCTCCGATATTAGTGACTCTACTCTTTCATAATCTTTAAGGTTCATATAAAGTGTCATCATCACATTGAATGGAAGCGCATGACTGGCATAGCCTCTATTTCTCATTTTACCAATTAAGGATTCAGCTTTTTCCCTTATCCCAGCACGCACATATGCATTCAAAAGAGCACCATATATTCTTTTATCCTTCAAGGCATCTGGCAACTTCATGAAGTATTCTTCGGCATTTGAAATTCCATGCACCTTGGCAATCAGATCCAGCTGAATAGCGGTGTCACTGGAGGTTATTCTATATTTCTCTCCTCTGTTATTCATCCATTCGTACACCTGTAGAGTATACAGGAGGTTCATGGTAATCAAATGGAAAGATAAGAAAAGGGAAGCAGCAGTAGAAAAGACTCAGTAACTGGAATTGAAATAAAAATCTGATCAACCAATTACAAAAGTATTAAACATGAAGAGGATGTATTTGATAGCCCTAAAATCCTACAAACCTGATTGTAAGCTTCTATTTCGAGATAGAAAACAAAGAAGGATATTTTCAGCTACTAAATTTGCGATCAGGTTTGTAAGGCATGCCAGCCATAGCAGTGATGTCTAAGGCCTCTAAGAGTGTTCCTTCCATTGTATGATTGTGATGCTCTATCGTTCACTTAGTTTATATATTTTTGCAGCCTATTATTTCCCAATTTCTCATCATATCCTCAGTTTTTTAGTTGTCTCATTCCATTCGACATCAACATCTCTAATAAATTAACATTAATATGTATGGCTGTGTGTGTGTTTGTGCATGAACCATTTGAGATTGCTTAAAACATCATTGCATCCAACAAACAAAAGAATAAAGAAACAGAATTATACATGCATAGATATATCAAACGCATAGAGCTGATATATATTCTCCCTCTATTTTCTTAACGTGCTCTTCCTTTTCGGATTGACATCGAACAATAAGATCACCCTCTTCTCAAGGAGTTTGTATAATAAACCACAGCACTTGTACACTCAAACTAGAAGGTGCATTATATTCTAATGAATGGTTATTTCTCGTATACAAATCAGGGTATTAGACTCAAGTATGGGTTTCAGATGGGTACAAGTCCAAGTTTTATATTTAGTCAACATCTAACATTAAAATGAAAGATCCATATGTCATAACTAAAAGCATTTTTGGGAAGTATTTATAAGTGGTTTGTATTATAAATAAATAGAAATGAGTGGGGGGGACAAGTGGGTAGTATTAGTGGTTCCTCCGAAATATGTAGATAAATTATGACTTGTGTAGAAATTTATGGGCCTAACTCATCTCTCAAAATCGGTTCTGCAAGAGAGGTCACATCAATCCGTGGTAGGCTCTGATACTATGTAGAAATTTATGGGCCTAACTCATCTCTCAAAATCGGTTCTGCAAGAGAGGTTACATTGTTTATAAACTGACCCAAGACATTATCCACAGGTGATGTGGGATTTATTTCCAACAACTTGTGTTTATAAATATGAGCCAAACATAGGCTAAGTATTGTTCCAGGTATTTCAGTTTTTTGTCGATCTAACTTTTAAGCTACCATGTCGTAACCATATCCCACATGACTAACAAAACAGGGCGTGGAATACGTGTACGACTCTCCAACACATGGTAAAAAAATATTATACTTAGGTGGCCCAAGAGTAAGTCATAAGCATAATTCACGAAGAAAGTAAGGACATATTTCCTCTTATATCACGTTTCTGTTGTGATATATATTCTTCCTTGAAATCTAATCTAATTCTTCATCGTAGTCTAATTTAGTATAGAGCATTCTTAAACGTTGTTTAATAAGTTAAAAATTATGTGCCGCGTACCAATATACTAAATAGAGACTCTACTTTGACTAAATTGCCCAACACGTGTACCTTGAGCCTTAACTTTCTCTCTCTAGCAACTCACATTTGCAAATCCTATAAGCCCACATCCGGTCTGAACAGTTAGTTTTCAATGTTCACACTCTACTAAGCAATTTTCCTATCGAATGTTTAAAAAGGCTTAATTAGGTATCGAGACATTTAGCCTCTATGAGGCGAGGCGTAAGCCTCTAGATAAACTAATAAATAATTCAAAAGAATATAAAAGTACAAAAACACGCTCATAATAAATCATTCACCATCTTCAAAAATCCATAATATAACACACTAATAAAACTAAAAGTTTACAATGCAAATATACATAAAATAAATTGTTAAAAGAAAAGAAAATAGACAGAAGAAAATAGACAGAAAACTAGGGCTAATAATAGAACTTCCGGAATATACAAGACAAACGGGTAAAAACTAAGTCGTTTTGAGGCTTAGCCTTGTGGCATAAGCCTCACTAGGTCGAGATATAAGCCTCACAAATGGCACTAAAGGGGCGGGATTCGAGGCGTTTTATAAAAGCCTTAGGTGAGCTCAGTTAAATAGTGATTACATCATTCTATAGTGAAGGTGTAATATAGTTTGACCAATATAGAGTAGGGCTGTCTGTGGGTCGGTTCGATTCGATTCTGAAGAGACCCGAACCGATCCAAAACTTTCGGGTATTTAAAAAATGGACTCGTCGGGTCCAAATATAATTATGGAACCGTTCGGGTTCGGTTCGGGTCGGTTCCGTTCCGTTCGGTTCCGTACCATAATTAAATTTTTTAATATTTTCAACAACACTACATAAATACAACTAATGACATTTCATTCGTAACTTTTACAAATTAACGTAACTCAATTCAAAAATATATAAATAACTAGCCGTCGAATAAGATTAATTCAATGCATACAAATACCAAAAAGTAGATATTAATATTACAGCAACACTACATAAAGTATATTCATTTGCTTCAAATTAAAATGGGCTAATGGGTTTTAAAAATGATTTGGGCTTTAAAATTAAAATTATGAAATAATCTGATTTATTTAATTAATTTGCTAATTTGTTTAGAAAAAAATAAAATAATTTAATTAATTCAATATAAAAAATAAAAAAATTTATTTAGTTTCGGTTCTTATTCGGTTCTTCGGTTCTTGGTCTAGACCCGAGACCCGACCCAAACCCATCGGTTCTCGATTCGGGTACCCGTTCGGGTATTTAATTTATGAAGAACCACTCGGTTCGGTTCGGTTCGGGTTCGATTCGGTTCGGGACTTTTGGACACCCCTAATATAGAGAGAGGAAAAGAGCACTAAGAGCAGTGCAGTAAATTTAACCAATTGGGAGCGCTATATATTATATACAACACATTTGGCTAAGCTTAAAAGGGGTGCTTTAAAAGCATCACTTTTAAACAGTATGTGAGATGATGATGTGAAAACAAAGGTGCTTTTATAAGCTTAGCCAAATATGCTAGTAATTGTGTCCTAAGGAAGACCCTAAACTTAGTTCTTACAGTTCCGTCGCCAAGAAGCCAATCCATTAACCAAAATATACCTCCATTTGAGACCCATTCTTTAGAACTCATTTTTCTACAAACTCATTGTCAACCACACATTCTCCTAATAAAATAATTTTGCACATCAACTTCAAAAAAAATTTCCTCTTCTTAACCACACATTCTTCCAAAAAATTCACTTTTTACTAAATCTATTCTCAAGTAGGGGCTATATTTTGTGGTAAAAAAGGAAAGAAAAAAGATTTATGACTCAGCCCCAGTTTGGTCCACATTAATATTTTCATTTTCATTCTTCTACTCATTTTCTACCACACATTCTTCAATAAAATAATATTTTACATCACATCAATAACATTTCTTTCTTTTTCAACCACATATTCTTCATCCATCACATCAACAAAATGCATTATTCTACCAAAAATGTGCATCAAACAGGACCTCAAAATTAAAAGATCATCATAAAATAAATCTGAAACAATCTTAGATCTTTCTTCAAGATAAAAAGCAATGTACACATATCACACGGATATTTGATCAAACAGTGCAAAATTCAATAACCAAACACATACAAAATACCGAAGCTTCACGACTCTATATTACTACTTTAAGACAAAAAGAAGATGTCCACTGAATTTTAAAGCCTAACTAATGTGTTGTATCCCTTGACAATCAAGAACAAGAAAATCTGAGGCTTAAAGTCCTACTTCTCAATATATACTACATTCTAAATCCCCTTCAGTCAAAGACTACCATTTGAGCCAAGGTCCGGATAACAAATCTTTTTCACTCCAAACTCGAGATGATGCTCACAAGTAATCTAAGATATTTAAATATACTCCAAGATTAAAATAGAAGGCCATAATTCTGAACTAAGAGTCAACACAATCAAACTCGGATAAAATTCCAAATTTATCATTCCATATTTAACATTTTCTTTACTACCAAATTGCACCAACCATGACAAGAAACACGTACGTTCACAAAGACCAAGGACATAATTCAGTAACTAAATAGAATGCTGAAAAATTTAGTAAATACCCACCAAAATATAAATTATTGAACTAGTATTGAAGACTTAAACTTCCAAGGGGTTCTTCTTTTATCCTTCACCGAAGACCATCAAATTACAACCAAAGATTCGAACTTAAAATGTGTTTTTTTGATTGGCCCCCAAGAGCCACGTGTTACTACTAAATGACTTTTTCGGGTCCTTCTTTCCTTCAGAAATCACAACAAAAGCCACGATATCAATACTAACAATCAATCTGAAACTTTAGTGGGATTTTCCATATTAAATTTACCTCAAGAGCATATTTGTAACGCCTAAACTTCCTGAGCTCCTTAACCACTCGACAAAGCTCCCATTTGGTAAGATTTTTGCCCTCATTTTCCACCTGATTCAACACAGAAGCAGAACCCATATGTGGGTTCTGCATCATAGATATTCTCTTGTATATAGCATTCCAAGTCAACGCAGGCCTCTTCTCATAGTCAACCGTTCCATAGCTGTGGACGTGTGAAATGGAAGAACATGTAATAAATACTGGATTTTTATGAGTTTTAGTAGTGAAAACAACAGCTTGTTTAAGAGGAAAAGTTGAATTCTGATGAAACCTAGAAGGGAATGAATTTGAGTAGACATGATTTTGGTGGCTGCGAAGGTAAAGAGGGGGTTTTGAGGTTGTGGGTTGGAGTAACATTGTTGTGGGATTGTATTGTAGGGTTCTGGATGAGCGAGTGTAAGTGAAAATTGAGGACTGTAAAATGGGGGAAGACACTTCTTCAAGGTGAATTGTTTTAAAATTCCTTTAATACTTTTCAAAAAAGTCCAAAGTTTATCAGTTATTCGCCCAGGAGACCATAACAATAGAAAAGTTCAACTTTCCCACCAGAGTATAGACTTGTCAAATATGATTGTCCAAAAATATGTTGTACTTGTGTTCTTTTCTATACCCACAGTCTAGTTTAAAAATTACTAAGATTTCTAGATTTATTGGCTCTAAATATTCGACCGTTGTCTTTAAATTTGTCTATTCCACCCTCAATTGGCTTAATATTGTTGTAATTATCTCATCATCGACTCTATTTACCACTACTACCTTCGTCATCTCTAGAAGGCTAGAACAAAGGCAAGGCAGGGTGGGGGAAGTGGGGGATAAGTAAAACTAAAAGGATGCAATTTGGGAGTAGATGGTGATAAAAGAATGAGAAAATTACAACTAGGGTTCCTAACCTTCTCAAAATGTACATTATCCAACCTCCAAATTTTAGCAATGTCATCTCAGACTTCCGAAAAAATAAGCAGTTGAGAGACCTTTGATGGTAACTGTCCAAATATTCATCAGTTCAATGCATGAATTGAACTTGACCATTTTTAGAAGGGCAGAGTTTTCCCTCCACCTTTTCTCATGTCAAACAATAAAAAAGAACAAACAAAAAGGAAAAAGGAAGAATTAGAAAAGAAGATAGAGAAAATTTTCCAACTTCCCAAGCACCCATCAATCACTACCCAATGCAATCACACCACTATTGCTACCGCTACCCACAACCACGCAGCCCAAATGTTTTAGAAAATAAGTACTCTTGTTATCCTATGAAAGTTGTGCATAATACATGTCACAATTCACATCTGATGAATACATCCAAAGGCCATCGACTTGGACATGTGTACTATATATGTCACAACTCACATCTAATGAATATATCCAAAGGTTATTCGACTGCATAATTTCTCGAATGTGTGGGGTAGAGCTACCAAAATCTGAAGATTGGAGACTCATTCCATATTTTGAAAAGGGCAAGGATCTGAGATGCAATTTTTCCTAAAAGAATTGAAGATCGCGATTTTTCAATTAGATGACGTGGAAAAAGTCTTTGAAACTAAAATAATCCTCACAATTAATTGAATTGCTTTACTATGGAAGTTGGTCAAGGTGTTTTCTCATGGTCCCTTATATGTTAGGGAAGGGTAAATATCACAGAACGTCAGTACATTTCAATGTCATTGTGCAAAACGTTCATACATATCATTTTTTGACATTTTCACTGTTATCTTCCTAACGTCCATCTTTCATTGCTCAAAAGGCTCTTTTCAAATATTTTTTCAGTTAAATGATGATTGTACCCTTCTATTCAAATGAAACAAAAAGAAAAGAAAAATAAATAAACAACTAATTGCAATCATAGTCCTAAATTTTTCAAAATATTACAGAGAAGTGCTAAATTCTCCACCACAACCACCACCACTTTCACAACCCCACCAAGCCACCACCTATAGATCCACATAGCACCATCTTCTGACCACCACGCTCGCTAACCTCTCTTCACTCTTCCCAATGGGTATGAATCTAGTTGAACCAATTATCCTCACAACCGTTTCAATTTCTGATCCAAAACTCTCCATGGACGCGATGCACGGAGAGAGCTGTCTGATCAAAATTGGTGGGTCCTAAATGCTCCAATTTCAAATTCGTGTGGGGGAGGACGGTGGGAAAGTGAAGCGAGGTTGGTGGTGGTGGAGTCCGGTGGGCGTGGGGCAGAAAGGTGGTGCTATGTGGATCTATGGTGACAGCTTAGTAGATTGTGAAAGTGGTGGTGGTGGAGAATCTATGATTTCTTTGTAATTTTTTAAACACTTAAAGAGTATGGTTGCAGTTAATTATTCATCTTTTTCTTTTTATTTTATTTGAATAAGAGGGTAAAATCGTCTTTTATTAAAAAATGGTTAAAAATGACATTTTGCGTAATGAAATGTGAAAGGTATGGGTGAAAATACTAAAAAATGAAAGGTATGGACGTTTTGCACAATGACATTGAAATGTATGGATGTTCTATGCTATTTACCCTTTAGGGAATATAGGATCCTATGAAAATTTAGTCTATGTTTGTTCTTCATTTTTTTTTTCAAAAATTTATTTTCAACCACACATTCTCCCATAAAATAATATTACACATAAGTTGAAAAAAATTCTTATTTGTTAACTACGTATTTTCTAAAAATTACTGTCCAATACTCATTTTCATCCAAATTTCCATTAAAATGGAGTCTAGTAGAGATCAAAATTAGATTTTTAGCAAATTTGGATAAAAATTGATAGGATGTGTGGTTAAAAAATTGTAGATCATATAAAATGTGTGGTTAAACAATAACTAAACATAATCAGGAAAATTGAAAGATAAAATACAAGATTTAAACTCTACTGCACATAGAAAAACATTAATCAATACAATAACACTAAAAGACTAAAAAAATGGACAAATAAAATAAAATACAAGAACCTAGTATAGAGAGATATATGAATACAAGTGCATTTAGCACAAATCCTTTAATAAGTGTAAGACTCACCATGAGAGTACTCGAAAAAGTAATGTCCATAAATTTTAGAGAGAGAAAAATGACCCCATATGGTAAAATTAATTATATATAACGAAA